TCTAAGTGGGCATCGGATGGTAATGTGTATTTGTAATCGTGTCTGTGGGTCTGTCTAGTGGGTATTTTAAGATAATATACACAATTACAAATACACATTACCATCCGATGCCCACTTTTCTTTTAAACATCTTTTGTCAAATATGACGGACAAGGAAAATTTTGCTAATTCTTTATTTAGTTTTACCAGCTTTCCTACATTTTTTCCCGTTTGGTGAGAGTTAGGATCTACAAAAACTGTCCACAGCGTCTATTATCTGAAGTGCTTTCAATTACTTCCCTAGCCAGTTTCAAGTGTGGTTCCGCTTTGGTGTTATCCACCCACAATCTACAATAACCCTTAATAAGAATTCTGGTCGAAAGCACTAAAATTCTATGTAAATCAAATTACCGAAAACATCTCGCTATAAGAGAGGCCCTGTATATTAAACATCTCTCTCCCACTATCAACATTATATTGTTTCACAATGGGTGTGGGGTGCTGAAAATATTTTTAAAAATAGAAAGACGTTCACTCGAATTCAAGACGCACTCAATATGTGAAGGCTTGGAATAAATGCTCCTACAAAACAATACAAAAAATACATCTCACTCAATCCGTTATATACCGTACTTATGAATATTAATTAGTATGTCCCAATCCTCATAAATACGTTGGACACTATTGTAAATGGCAGTAATATGCTGTTTAAGTAGTTCACCATTAGCAGTGGTTTTTTCTTCCTTCATAAGTGTGAAATATTTTCTTTTTTTTTAACGTAATAGCAAAATATTTATTCTTTTCTCTCAAAATATTGTAGCTTTTCTTCACAATTCTATGATAAATGCTAGAGGAACTTTTTAAAAGGGTAAATTTAGGTGAATTTCACCCTGAAAATGTATTACGTAACTTAAAACAGAGTTTCAATCGGCGAAGTACTTCTATTGGGCATATAATTTAGCTTATTATGAATTAAACATAATATATCAGTGGATACATGTGTCTACGCGGACACACTGTTTTATTTTATTTTTAGGCGCGCTGCATTTTCTCAACAGTGTGAATTACATCTAAGCATGGGAAAATTTTAATAATAATAATGTAACTTCCGGATCTCTTAAGATCCTTAAATACACAGGCCGGTAGATGTAATTCACAATGTTTAGAAAAACATGGCGTCTGCTCAGCTACGCGTAACGTTTACATAATAAGAATTAAGTTCCGTCTATGAAACCTTTTTTTTTTTTTTAATTTCTTTTAAATTCCTGATTTAGCTGTTTCATATTATCGCTAAATTCTCCAAAGTCCACATTTATTTCTATTTTATTTTTCCGGGGAGTTTCGAATGTTTTTACATTCTTTTTCAAGGATTCTCTTTTGTTTATATTTACGCAATTATTATTGTTTAAACATGTTTGAAAGGAAAAGGAATGATTGCTGCCTAAATATAACTTTTCAATATATATATATATATATATATATATATATATATATATATATATATATATATATATAAAATTGGTCAAGGAGGTCAACACCAACAGTCTGTTTCATGCTTAAACTGCAGGCGATCATCATCATCATCATCACCATAATTCCCTTGACTTTTGTAATCGTTGGGCGGATCCGAATGCTGAAGCCATATTGAATCTCCTCCACAACGGTCTATCAACGGCAACCATCAGCAATTCTGGTATAGTCATACCTGCCCATTGTTTGACATTGTCCAACCAGTTTTTTTCTTTGGTGTCCTCTCCTAACTCCACCTTCAACGGTGCTTTGCACGATGGTCTTGCAGAGGCGGTCGTTTCTTGTGATGTGCCCAAGCCACGCCATTTTTCTCCGTTCAGCAGTGGCGAGATGAGGTTCCTGGTTTTCCACAAAACTTTCAAACATTTTCTGCACAAACTCATTGGTTATTTGTTCCAAGTAGAAAATGCTAAGGAGTTTTTCTCATGCATTTGTCCTCAAACGCTTCGATCTTTCTCTCTATTTGCCAACGGTGTCTACGTTTCACATCCATATAGGAGAATGGAGACTACCATGATTTGCAGTTATATATATATATATATATATATATATATATATATATATATATATATATATATATATATATATATATATAAAAATATATGTGTATATATATATATTCTAATACATATACATACATACATATATACATACATACATACATATATATATATATATATATATATATATATGTTTAATGTAACAGTGCATAATAAATAAATATTTATTGCTCTACTTTATATTAAGCCTTGTTTTAAATTGATGTTTTGAACGCTGAAATCATACTCCTCGTTCTTTTACATGATGAGCTGTGATGCAGCGAAACAGTCTGTCTGTGGATAACAATATATATGGTCCTGAAAAATTTATTTCTGTTGTTCTGGGAGGAGTGGGTTTGTAAACAGTGACTATTACGGCTAATAATGCAAGACTTTTGGTAAATCGAATCGAGTTTTTTCTCAGTCACTCTGTGTTTATCTAAAAATAAATATGCTTAAATTCACCTTCATCCCACCGTGCGCCAACGGTTTAGTGGTAGACTCTCCGACTGACGATCCCCTTTTGGAAAATCCAGACGCTCCAGCCACACTGATGAAACAGTCTGTCTTTGGATGACTATATATATATATATATATATACATATATATATATATATTTTAATTTTTTTTTTTTCCTTCCTTCCTGTCCATTCATTCATGTCTTATGACAGACTTTTTTTTTTTCATAATCTAAATTCCCCATTAACAGTTCTGATGAGAGGGGACGAAACCGTCGACTGGTTGTGTGTTTTTATTTAAACTTATCATGGCCTACAATACAACATTTCTAGTTTTAATGCCTTAATACGCTTTTTTGTAATTTTCAAAACTATATATATATATATATATATATATATATATATATATATATATATATATATATATGACATCGTCAAATATGACAAACAAGGTGCTTTGATTAAGTATTTATATGATTTCTCATACGATCTTAAATTTATTCTTTTTTCTAGATAACTTATACAAAAACTACCCAAATGTTTTATTTTTCCCAGTTTTCGGCTATACATTTAGCCATTATCAAGATGAATTATATTTCCTGTTAACTGTAAAATGAATTGTTGTATGTATATATTTCGCATTATAAGAATGGTTTATTTCAAAACACAGTCAACATATTATGTTCTAGTTATTAATATTGAGTATTTGTTTTCTTTTTAAATAATTTGTTTTATTATAATAATTTACAATTTTAATTTGATTATTAATGATATCGCCGAAAGCGCTTGTAAAAATAAAACATTTGGACAGTTTTTCTATAATTATCTACAGAAATGAAAAAATGAAATTATATAAAAATACTTAAAACACCATGTTTGTTATATTTAATGAAGCTTGAATGAAAGGAGGGTTTACAAAATCACTAAAATCATATATATATATATATATATATATATATATATATATATATATATATATATATATATCCGAGATACAAAGTTCATTATCTATGAATATATAATTATCTACAAGAATCCATATTTTCGAACGAGTAATAAGAATTTCCATAACTAGTTAAGTAGTTATGGACTAAATACTATTTTAAAAGTTACCAACTTGTATAATTTACAATATCGCCCTATTAAAATACCTAGCTTCTAATTCTGTTCATATTTATTCATTGTTCTGTTCGTATCTACCTACAGGCTTACACTGCAGTTGAGAGAGTGGCGTATTTTCACCTGTTGCTTCGGGAGGTGAGACTCTTGATACAAATACGCATTTTCAAAGCTAATTTTAAAAGTGGACTAGACATTACAACGTTAAGAATTGGGGAATACCATTTCTATTAGGGGTGCAACCGAAAGAATATATATTATTTTGCATTTTTTTTGTCCATCTCAGTCTATCTATCTATCTATCTATCTATCTATCTATCTATCTATCTTCATATTTATGTCTATTCATATCTATCTCTTTCTATATATATATACACAAATATCATGTACATATCTCTCTCTCTTTCTCTCTCTCTCTCTATATATATATATATATATATATATATAGCATAATGAGAAGCCACGTATACTTTCTTAATATGTATATAAAGAAAAACAAATAAAAAGTTGCAAATTAAAAAAATAATAATGTTTCTGAAGAAAGATCGAGGTCGATCTGAATTATCAAATATAAATAAATACTTACATAAAAACATTATTATTTTTTTTTTGTTTTTATATATATATATATATATATATATATACATGTGTGTGTGTGTATGTCGATTCATATCTAGGAACCTACATCTATTCATATTTATCTATGTCTATTCACATATATCTGTCTTTATATATATATATATATATATATATATATATATATACATGCATCATATTCATCATATATGTATGTATGTATGTATGTATGTATGTATCTATTCATATATATATATATATATACATGCATGCATCATATTCATACCTATATATATATATATATGTATGTATCTATCTATATATATATATATATACACATGCATACATCATATTCATACCTATATATGTATATATGTATCTATCTTTCTATCTATCTATCTATATATATATATATATATTTATAAATATATATATATGTCTATTCAAATGTATCTATCTATATCTATTCATGTCTATGTCTATTCATATCTATCTATCTATCTATCTATCTATCTATCTATCTATCTATCTATTCTTATCTTTCTATATACCAAGAAAACGATGAACCTAAGAATTCTATCAATTATATTAAAAAGCTTTTGAAATTATACATCTATATGATGAAAGTAGTACATTTATGTTTAACGAGTCCCATAAGTTTTTTTCGGAATATACAATTTTCTGTTTGAGAAATTATTCTTAACCTAATAAGTTTTAGCAAGTCAGAATTAATTTCATCGTCAGCACTTTTATCTCGATTTTTTTAAAAGGCATATTTTTTTTTTAATTTGATAAACGAGTTGAACTTATTTAGTCATACATCGAAACGATGAAGATATATTTTTACTTCAAAATGATGTCGGATTAACGTTTAGAGTTAATATTTATTTTAATTCTTATTTAAGAAAATTGATCAGATTGTGCATGAAGAAGAGCTTGCATTAGAGTGATAAGAGTGCGTGTTAATTTCAAATGCATGTAAATATTCGTTGTGCGTTTCAAATATGACAAATCAATTAAAGCAAAGATTTCGTATCCAGGCGAGTCACAAATAATTCAACGGCATATAACAATTCAAAGATTAAAAATAAAATCATTGTAATATTCTGTTTCTAATGACTGCATTATTTCCTGACCAATGACAATTCCTTTTTTTTTCCTAATTTTTCTCATGCATGTATCCAGGAAAAATATTTACAAAGCATTTCAAATGTAAATACATTAGGGAAAACATAGATAAACGTGGCCGCAATAAGACGTAATGTCAAAAGGATAGTTTTTTCCATGACTCCGCTATTATTTTAACTACCTCCACTCCTCAGCAAATTTTATTGTTTAAAAAAGCGATGAATAGAATTCGAATACAACTTAAACATATCATGAAAGTGAAGTTATACATATTTTTGTTCTTGAGAATTTACAGTAAAAATATTAAAAACTATTTATTGATTAGATGATTTATTTACAAAATAATGTCATATTTACAAAATTCTAAAAATTACCGTAATTCCCCATATATAATACGCATTTTTTCTAAAAAAAATAATAAGTAAAATCATGGGTGCGTATTATGCCCAGCTACAAAAAATCTTTAAAAAAATGCCGTAAAATAAAATAAAAATTATCTTAAAACTAAATTAGAATAATATTATTCTATGTTTAAAAACATTTTTTTTAAATAAGAGTAAGAAACATGAAATTGAAGAGGTACAATTTATAGGGTTTCATTACCAAACAAGGGATACGTATTTCAGCACAATTTTAGGTGTCCGTATTATGGATGAAATCGTATTATACATGGGGATTACGGTCATACAATTAGAACTAATGCAATGTAATATTTTTCATTTATCAATTTATAAAATAATAAATATGAAAACAATTTTTATTCATGAATTTATAAACATTTACTAAATTATTAAAATATATCAACCTACGATAAGGAAATCCTTATTATTTACCATTTTATAAAGTTTGAATCGGTTGAAATGTTTATTCCAATAATATAATAAATAGCTTGTGTAAATCACGGGCAGGTCTATCCATGTTTGCCTACATTAGGTAAGCATTTCTATCATACATATAATAAACCTATTCTCTCTGCATAGCTTGCTTAAATTCCTAGCCATTTACGTTACTCTTCTTCAGTATTGTCAATTCGTTTCTATAGTTTAAATCATATCTACAGAAATATCAATGACAATACAATATATATATATATATATATATATATATATATATATATATATTGATGCATGCTTCATTAAATAAAATAGACAAGTTTTGTCTATTTATTTCATGTAAATTATTTTCATATCGTCTGATAAGCTTAATAGCATTATCATTAAAAGAAGAAAGAAAATCACCATATTGATACATATTTTTTAATCCTATCTAAGCTTTCGGCTTACATTATAAAAGATGACAATTACATGACAATATATTAAACAATACACGGACAAAACAATAATGATAGTCTGTTTTTGTTCACATGGAAGATTTCCAAGCAACGACAAATTTCTGCATACGAGACGCTGGAATCGAAAATCGCACCGCAGCTCATGACGTCACACATGACCATGTGAGAGTGGAAACAAAAAGCATTAAGTATGGGAAGCCAATGGTATAAACTAATGGGTTCTATTATGAATTATAGGCATTTAAGAATATTTGTGTAGATTTCATAGTTTATTTTGTTTCAACTGTTTTATGTGTATAGCTCCAGGAATTTTTAGTTTTTGTTTATTGTTTTCATGTTTAAGTATAGTTGTGTTTTCAACGAAGATTTTTGTGTATGCGTCCAGACATGTTGTCATTAGAGTTATCATTCAAATGTAGTGTCAAGCGTCGTGAAAGCGAGTTTGTGGTATATATATATATATATATATGTGTGTGTGTGTGTGTGTCTATGTGTGTGTAAATATAAAATTGTATATATATATATATATATATATATATATATATATAATTATTTATTTAAAAATTATAACATAAATATGTTATAAAATCATTAGAAAATTTCTGCATACAGTTATAATTTTTATGATACATATAATAAAATTATTATATCTGCAGCAAATTAATTCCTGACCATTGACAATCCACTCTCCCTTGAATTTCGATGTAGAAAGTACAGATTGTACGTCTAAATATGCACAAATTTGAAATTAAAAATAATTTTAAGATTTTGAAATTAATCGGCAATTTTTTTTACACTCCCAATAGTTCATTTTATTATTATTTTAATGAAAAGAAATGACAAACGGCACAATGAAAAGCAAATGGCGTCGTCGTATTAAAGTCACTGGACAAAATCAAGAAAAGTCGAAACTATTTCAAAGGATACCAACTCGAAATGAAATCGACGGTGGAATACAAAACTTTTATGGTCATTAAAAATGTAATCATTAGAGTGAATGAAAGCGTTGACATAGACGTTTAATAAATCATATATCAATTACCAGTTACGTGTTGAACTGGCTTCACTGTGTCGTGCGAGACACCGTTTCGCGCCAGAATCGATCTTATATATATTCTACCATTCATTCATGCTTAGATTATTGCTGCCACATATGGTACTTTGCCCCTGCTATTTACCTTGAGTTCCTTGATAAAATCCAAAAAAGAATCAGCAATATTATTAGTCCTGATCTGACGGCTCGGCTTCAGTTACTTACGCACATCCGTCAAGCTGCCTCTCTGTGTCCTTTCTATAAATACTTACATGAAAATTGTTCAGATGAGCTCTTCGCTATGTGAGTGCTTGGGGTGAATGAATGTTTAATACTATTATAGTCCCGCATTGATTTCGGCCAATGAACTGATGTTTCTGTCAAATTTAGTGATTGTGGGGGGGTTTATTACTAATATTATTTTCTTTAGTTTCTTGTAAATAGTTTTGTAATCATGTTTGTAAATACTCAATGGGGCTAGTTTTTTAGAATTGTTGTTTTTATTCCCCCCCCCACAGACAATGAATTGTAAATATGGGGACTAGTTAGTATTTTCATAGAGACAATGAGGTATTATGGTGAATGTAGTAAGAAAGGTATGTATGAATGTGTTGTTTTGGTGTAAGGAATATTGTTTGTATGATTGGGTCAGTGTTTGCGACTAGCTAAGTTATAGTTAAGACAGAAAAGACCGTCCTTTCCCCAATCCCCCCTACGGCCTTGTGCCACATTTCTGTATTGTACAGAATAAATATCGCTCTTCTTTATAGGGGGGTTTTATTACTAACATTATTTTGTTTAGTTTCTTGTAAATAGTTTCCCTTTCATATTGTAAATACTCATTGGAGCCAGTTTTTAAATTTTAATTCCCCTCCCCTACAGACAATGAATTGTACATATGGTGATTAGTTAGGACTTTCATAGAGACAATGAGGTATTATGGTGAATGTAGTAGGAAAGGTAATTAGGAATACATTGTTTTTATGTTAGGAATATTGTGGTGTGTTTGGGTCAGTGTCTGTGGCTATCTAAGTTTAATATTAAAGCAGAAGAAGACCGTCCTTTTCCCCATTCCCCATTCCTCATTTTGGCCTTGTGCCACATTTTCTGTATTGAATTGTAAATAAATATCACCCTTCGCTATGATAACTAGACTTTTTGAATTTAAACGAAGTACTAGACTGGCGTCGAAATCTCATCAATTTACAGAAGATATGGCTAAGCCTAAGTTCTATGCTAACAGTTTCTTTTCTCGCACTTCCCGCATGTGTAAATTTCTTCCGGCTCCATGCTTTCCAGCCAACTTTAATCTGCAAAAGTTTAAATGCAATGTCAATCGATATCTAATGTCCTCCTGATTATTCTTTTCTCTTCTCGCTCATTATTAATGTTTCTGTTCCTAATTACTGTACACCCTGTAACCCCTGGTGTCTTAGTGGCTTTACCGCCTTTCATTGGGCGATATCGATTAAAAAAGTATATCATGTTACAGTGTTAAATTTATTTACAATGCATTTATTTATTTCACTTATTTATATGAATGAAAATAACCTTACTATAAGAAGGTATTATAAATAGGTCTACTATAAGAACGTGTGACAAATGATTGTAGTATAATTATGCATTACTGGATCCTTCGACGTGGTGTAATAGTTAACAAGCTTGTCTAATTAGATCAATTACGGCTGAATAGTGAGTTAAAATCCTCAGAGGGTATCTCATACTTTCAGCCTTGTGCCACAGATACACTTAGAAAATTATTTTTTTCACAACCATCCTGGATATGACGATAAACTACATCCGGCAGCAAGGCCTCTGAGTAGGTTTTGAGGAGCGTGGAACCATCTCTTAATTACTTGTGTTCTCAGGTAAACCCTGACTCGGTGTGTTAGCATCTGTTAAACCACATCTGGCAGCAAGGCATCTGAGCAGATTTTGAGGAGCGTGGAACCACCTCTTAATTGCTGATGTTCCCAGGTCCACCCTGATCCGGGGTGGTATCATCTGTTAAGGTCCCAGCTACGGGTAAATAGTTAACCCCCAACCTCGGGTCAAAACGTGTAAAAATAGGTTTTAACAACAGGAAAACATTTTAGTAAAAAATTATTACCAGCAATAAATTTTTGAAGAAAAAATTATTACCAGCAATACTGTTTTAGAAAAAATATTACTAAAACTACTTTTTGAAAAAAAAAAAAAAATTTTACGAGCAATAAAAATCTTGTTGGCATTAAATAACCCATTGAGGTTGATACGCCGTAAAACGCCGTAAAACAAACCAATCATCTTTCATTTTCTGGACATCTGGCTGGGATCAAAGTGTAGTCACCATTTTATCTCTCAATTGTGTTTCTGAGTTCGGTCAGAGCGCAAATCTGTTGTGTCTTTGTCTTTGAACAGAGTGCAACTAAAAATATTGAGAGGTTCCCAGTTCTGGCGAACCACTGCCAACAGTAGTAACTCCCTCAGTACACTAAAGAGGGGGTATCGATAATGATACCGATGCCAGCCCAACCGACATTTTCGGGGGTTGGGCTATTTTTGGACCTGATCCAGAGTCATGCGATTGAGCTCTGAACATTAAACTGACCTTGTGTCACATCCTTCCAGCGTGGACCGGTAAGTAAATAATAAGTATGTATTGTTGAACACGTAATGTTTAACAAACGTGTCTTACCAGATTAATTACGACTGAATACTGATTGAGCCATACTTTCGGCCTCGTGCCACATCTAAGCTACGTTTAGAAAATCATTATAAGCATGTATTGTAAATAATTGTAATATAAGAACGCGTGGCAAATGATTGCATTATAAGAATGTATTGTAAAACATTTATTATAAATTTCAATATAATGAATTGTAATTAATCTCATAAGATTTGCGTCCTGGGTAAGACGATAAACTAAATCCGTGTCCTGGGTAAAACGATAAACTACACCTAACAGCAAGGACTCTGATCGGGAGGTTTTGAGGAGCGTTAAACCACTTCATAATTGCTAGTGTTCTCAGGTTCAACCTGACCCAGGGTGGTAGCATCTATCAAGGTCCCAGATAGGGGCAAATAGTTAATCCCCAAACTGGTGTTAAAACACTATGAAAGTATAAAAATATGTTTTAATACCAGCAATACACTTTTGTAAAAAAAAAATTACCAGCAATAAATTTTTCAAGAAAAAAATATTACCAGCAATGCATTATTACCAGAAATATATTTTTGAAAAATATTACCAGCAATATATTTTTGAAAAAAATATTACCAGTAATAAAAATCTTGTCGGCATTAAATAACCCATTGAGGTTGACAAGCCGTAAAACAAACCAAACCAAACCAAAGCTAATGAGATTTTAGTGTATTATATCGTATATATTGTTAGAAAGCATGGTAAATTATTTTACAGAAATGTGTCGTAAATGATGGTCTTGGTAGAATACATTTTAAATATTTTTATTTTAAGAATGCATTGGAAATGTATTTATCACAATTATACCATGACAAAAATTTTATTAAAAGGATATATTCATTTCACTATAAGAATGCAATGTAAAATATTTTATTACGAGAATGTATTTTAAATGATTTTATTATAGGAATGTATTTTAAGTGTTTTTGCCATGAGAATACATTGTAAATAATTTATTATAAAAATGAACTTTAAATGATTATAAAAATGCATTGCAAATAATTTTTATTATAAGAATGCATTGTAAATGATTTTATTATAGGAAGGCATTGTAAATGATTTTATTATAAGAATGCATTGTAAATGGTTTTATTATAAGAATGCATTGCAAATATTTTTATTATAAGAATGCATTGTAAATGATTTTATTATAAGAATGCATTATACATGATTTTATTATAAGAATGCATTGTACATGATTTTATAAGAATGCATTGTAAATGATTTTATTATAAGAAGGCATTGTAAATGATTTTGCTATAAGAATGCATTGTAAATGATTTTATTATAAGAATGCATTGTAAATGATTTTATTATAAGAAGGCATTGTAAATGATTTTATTATAAGAATGCATTGAAAATGATTTTATTATAAGAAGGCATTGTAAATGATTTTATTATAAGAAGGCATTGTACATGATTTTATTATAAGAAGGCATTGTAAATGATTTTACGAAAATGTATTGGAAATGATTTTATTACAAGGCTATATTTTTCATGAAATACTACATGGAGGTGTAGAATGAAAGACTTTACTCTGTTAATTATCATGATGCAACCAAATGACGCGGCATCATTTTTTAGAAGAGCTTCTTGGTTCGAAAGAGAAGATTTTCAGAGCCACTTCTTGTAAAATAATTTCAGTTGAATCTTTATATATGCTTGTAGCATCTTTTGTGTCATTATAGATCTTAATAATGTTCTTATAAACAATACTAAAATCGTTTACAATTAATTTCTATATATTTTTTCTAATGGGAAAGTATTTTTCGGAGCATTTCTGTCATAAAATCCTTCAAATAGTATTTCATTTTAGTATTTGTTGTATTTCTCTGTATATATTGATTCAAAGGAATAACATCTTTGACAGATTTCTTTATGCCCGTGATATTACGAGTGGGTTAAAAGGCACAGAACTTTTCACGTATGTTCATTGATATAAAAATGACTTTTAAATTATCCATGTTCTTTTACTCTCTCATGGAAAGTTGAAGAATATATTTTTGTTTAACTGTTTGAGTATTTTTATAACAGACGTTATAATCTATTTATTTATAAACCGCATTAATTTGTAAATTTATTTATCAACAGTATTGATTAAAAATTTATTTATAAACAACATTTAGTAAAAAAAAATGTCCATTATATGTGATGGAAAAGGTAC